ATTTGTAACATGACCTGGATATGGACAATACTCCCCTAACTATGGGAATATACATACCCTTAAGCTTGCTATAGGTATAATTCGGGTACAGGACACATTTACTTAGTCATGGTAATGAAAATCAATGGAAATAATTCATAAAGTTGTAGCTGAACACCCATCCATACCCAGGTAATATACTGATAAAATATTGAGCATTTATATATCATGAATTAGGGAACGAACGTTAAAATAGCATGGGGTAGCTAAAACACTCCCCGGTCATCAATTAATAAGAGACCATAATGGCCTTTACGCTGACATGAATAGTAATACAGTTAGTATTAGTTGTTGTGATGTGTCAAACGAAAAAACCCACACATAATCCAAGTATAGTTTTATGACTTTGGTTCGCTGATAAAATTAAATGATGATGGGCAAGGACCATCCCCTAGTGCCGAATGGCTGACCGGGTGACTTTCATAAAACATGTAAGGACCTTATTTTCATGAAGAACATTTGATTCTGGAACTTCGGAGTCTGAAGTAGACGATCGTTGAAAATTCAGCCAAATTGAAACTTCGGATTCCCTCCACTCGGACGCTTTTAGTGAGTTATGATCTTAATTTCCATACCAGCAAACTGCAAAGCCATAATCATAAGTCCTATCAGAGATGTGTAAAGCCAGCAGTAGGATTTACGTCTCTGGTCACACCAAGTTTGAATTCATTCCCACTGAAAGTATACAAAATTATCTCATGCATGTTTTTTGACTAACATTATTTTATGATATACGAATGGGTGACCCGGGAGTAATTAAATTCATAATATCGATGACTCTTTTATATCTGGAAATAAACAAAAAATGTTATATTTCAGCTTATTTAACGCCCTTTCGACACCAACTGTCATGTCCCTGGAGTGCAAAATCCATATACTTCGACGGTTTGGTCTGTTTTTTGGTCATTAAACTTTGCTTCAAAATTTTCTTGAAATCGGTTTAGTGATTTATAGTTTGGGGGAAGAAGTCAAAAACTTGAATTGTTTACGAACGTACGATGCACGACGACACACAATAGGCAGTCGCGAAATGTAAATTAAGAATTTGTAGCAGGTGAACTAAAACGAGCTTTTCAATGTGTTTACCTCAATATATGATACGAGAGGGAGGAATCGCCTTTATCCATGGCCAATGTATAAAACATTTTTTAAGTATTTTGTCTAATATGTACGAAATAAATTCTAGATTCAACTTCCACAACGCTCACCGACAGTGTCCATCTTGTGTTTTTCGAAAACTTTTCTATTTGATTTCAAGAAAATAATGATCTTCATAAAGTCTGCAAACTTTTAAAATAATAGTCGTTTAAAAAAAATCTTTTAAATATGTAATTTGTCAATGCCTAGAGCCAAACAAATTAAACAGGCTTCACTGCACTATATGGCTATTTCGTCAACTATGAATTCGTTAACTGATTATAACGGATAATAAGTCAAAATAACACTGCGACCTTAAAGTAGATTTGACAGTCACAAAATAACACTACGACCCTATAAATAGCTATGAACTTCACAGAATAACACAGTCTTAGGTCTGCTGGATAACCGAACTACTCGGTAGTGAAGCGGACGTAAAACCAATCTATCAATCACAGAATAACACTACGACCAAATAAATAGCTATAAACCTCACAGAATAACACTTAGACCCTATAAATAGCTATAAACCTCACAGAATAACACTTAGACCCAATAAATAGCTATAAACCTCACAAATAACACTACGACCCTATAAATAGCTTTAAACATCACAGAATAACACTTAGACCCTATAAATAGCTATAAACCTCACAGAATAACACTTAGACCAAATAAATAGCTATAAACCTCACAGAATAACACTTAGACCCAATACACACTACGACCCAATACATAGCAATGAACTTCACAGAATAACACTACGACCCAATACATAGCTATAAACCTCACAGAATAACACTACGACCCAATACACACTACGACCCAATACACACACTACGACCCAATACACACTACGACCCAATACATAGATATGAACTTCACAGAATAACACTACGACAGAACAAATATTTGAAAGCTACATAGATTATCAGAACCACGCAATAAACTATAATAAGAGAATATATTGACCCCGTGGTATTGTGATGTGTACGCTTTTTTATGTATACTGTATTGTCACACAGGAACATAGCACACACATCAATTTGTAAATATTCTATTTACTTTGTTTGAGGGATGGCATGTTTTATAAAACGAATCTATAATTCATTGATATATTACTTACTTTGTCCGTCAAAACAGTCAATACTGTACGACATGGAACTAAAAACGTGACCCCCACCACGCTCTGTTAACACTACTAGTATACCGGTCACAATAAACCTCTCGTTACGAATGTAGATTCAGGCCTGACATCCATATATCACTTTAAAAGTTTGATGACTAAAACGTGAACATATCCTATGTGGAAGCACCTGTATAAATAAGGCCAAATACGTACGAGAAATGACTTATCTCGCCTAGAAAATTTGAAACAACAGATAGTTCATAATAGTGACAAATCTACTGTGGCGCCATCTTTGTCGGGAAAGATCACTGTCGTGACCGTTTTTCTGTAAATTATAAAATAGATCAATGAGATAAATTGAAATAATCAAACATAGTGTTTACTATTTTTACTTAAAAGGGAATTATCCAGGGCATGTTTGTCAAAGTCTGATAGTCTTAAGAGGTTAGTAACTCAAATTTTGAAAATGTAACATTTTCAAAATTTCGTAAAATTTACAAATATTTCAAGGTTTTCGTTCAATACATGATTTATAAAAAAAAAAATTGAAATAGAATATTTCTTTACAAGTATTAGTTTAAAACTATGCATGTAGTCGTTGAGATAACCAGGCTTTCGACAACTTTGCCCATGCTTTTTTCTTGTAATTTTTTCCCTACCATACATGTGTGTGACTTTAACATACAAATGTACTGTTCATCTGATATGGAATTTGCTGATGTTTTTTGTGTATACATTCTTTTATGTTCTCACTGTCTTGTTTCTGGTTTTCGCTTGATGGTTTGCACATTTCTTTGTATCATCTCTGAGCTGTCACCATTTTGTATTTGTTTATCAACGCGATGTGTTTGACAATGGTTCGCTGGTTGTCTGTCAAAAGTTTTTACTCAGATTGAACTATCTATATGTATTCGTATCATATTTAGACATGTTTCTGTATCATACGAGTGTCATAAAAAACATTGTTAACACTGTAAAAGTAATCATTTATTAACTAGTCTGAATATTTGTGAGCTTTTATCACAAATGGAGATGGAGTTCAATTCTGGTCCGGCATCTGGTTAGCTTTCAATTTTCACTTAGATCTTAGGGCCTTCCATCCTCCTAGATTTGATGGGGGGCATTTTTGTATACTTTAAAGATGACTTGAAGGCCAAGAGGAAAAATGATTTGGATTTTGGGATTTCGCAGTTATATCAGTATTTCTTTCTGATAAACGAATTTTATGGCAAGCTATGCGTTCCTTAAACGATTCTGTACATCTATTGAGAAATGTTATCTTGTGACTTAAAAAAATTGTAAACCATGTCTCAAACAAACGAATGTTTTTGCTGATATTATTGAGGCTTTGTAATGTTTCGATGTTACAACAGAACCTACATGGATAGCCACTACTGGATGTATTTTGTTAGAAAAAATATATTGTCGGATTTTCTGCTCTTCATACCCTCCTGACTTATAAAAAGTAGTATTAGTTTTTAATCAGTAAAATAAATATAATGACACCCTTTGGGTGGCCGATTCACTCACATTTCTTGTTTGAGTTATTCTTGTTATGAGTGGAGAGGCATAGCATAAACACTGGCTAATCTTTTGATGGTCATGAATGCTATGATTGTTAAACTACTGTTTCTTGTAAAAGAAAACATGTAAATATTCAGGAATATTTTCCTAGTATCATTTTTGCTACTTGTTATTGATAAGATTTGGCTAGCGAGATTTTAATATTTTTTTGTAATGTCGCTTTTAGATGCATACCCAACAAAGAAGCTACTATAAAACCCAATTATAAGCCATTGATGAATTCAGACCTGAGAAGATATATGAGAGTATGTGTAAAATTTCGAAGATAAGCAATAAATTCTAAACATTCCCTGAACATTTCCAAATAAAAAAAAAACACAAACTGAAAAACAACGGAGATATAAAGTTAATAGCATGTAAAAGTAGTCAATGCTATCCCTGTATGTTAATACAGAGAACATTATTGATCACTATTAGACAGCCTATCAGACAAAATCATTGGAAACTCGTCAAATAATTAATACATCATAAAAAGGGACGCCATGGGCTATAGATAAAACCTCTAGATAACGAAGACGTATAGGACGTGCTTTAAGCCGAAAACGGAGAGTTTATACAACTCTATCAGAATAACCAAACGGAAGTTGTAATGCGTAAAACCAAATTAAAGTTCGGAAAGTCCGCAGCAAAGGATGATGTCAGCAACCCTATAATTCTAGAAGTACACAATAGATAGTCTCTGTAAAACTCTATAATCTTTACTCAACTTTATTTACAGGTTTTATCGTAACGTCTGGACATTTGCAAATGTCTCTTTTAAAAAGGTTGATCGGCATTCTTTATCAAATTGGTCAAATACTTGAAATGGGTAGTTTTTAGCACTTGTGCGATATCTTTTTTGAAACTTACTTTTTTATCAGTATCAATTGGGTTTTATGCGTGGTTATGAAACATGGTAGACATTAATTAAATTACATCTCAGTTTTTCTAGATCTAGGAGAAAAACGCACGTGTATTCTGTGACATTTTAAAGCGTTTCGCAGATTCAGGCAGATAGGCTTACAATAGTGTTAGAATGATTCTGTATTTTAGGTAAATACTTGTCCTGATTAAATAAATAAGAGGCATGAAAACATATTTATAAATAACACGTATCCGATGTTGGTATGACAGAGGCTAGAGTTCATCAATGTTCAACTACCGGGCCTCTCCTATTTTCTAGTAAACAATATTGGACATGAGCTTGATTTAACCGCTCGTCTATTTGCTGATGATACGTTGTAATATGATAAAGATCTTTTTCATTTTAAGCAAAATGAAACAAGTTTGAATCGGGATTTGGAGACATTGAATATATGGGCAAAGAATAGCATTCCCACAATTAGTCCAAATACATTATTTTCTTTATAAGATATCTCATATTAACTTTTAGTTATATTATAAAATATATCTTATTTCTTATATGATATATCATTTAAGAAATGTGTATCATATCTTGTATAATGTATAAAATATCGTATATAATATGCATTATAATATATCGAATTTCCTATTTTGAAATCAATTGTCAGTCTTTCGAGAAACATGTCCTTTAATAATATACATATTGGAACGTAAATATTATATTATCAGCAAAGCTTTATCGATCTCTGAGACAATATATGTGTAACAGAGCTACATATACTCTCCTCAGATCTTTGTCCATCCATGTACACACAGTACTTGCCAAAAGGGATCTGAATGTCACGTGAAGAACAACGGAATTGCTGTTTGCATTAATACAGGTACGAAACGTAAACTTGTAAATATTTTAGTAAAACATAAACATGAATTCGATGCTTTTCTAAAAGTATATTGAATATTTTTTACATTCAAAACACAATACAGTTTCTATACATGTAATTACACAGTTAAGCACTAAAAATAAACACGATACACGTGAAAACGATATGTTTATATGTACTGCGGATGGTTTAACACATGTATCAAATTACACATAAAGATTGAATTTATGATTAGCATTTCATCCAATGTTTTGTTTTTAAATTGAAGTATGTGTTGAAAATCGTGTTAAATAAACAATTACGTTTGGACAATAGAATGCGCAGACAGCCCATCCGTAGCGAACTCTACAAGTTTGTCACAGGAGCGGACAGTCGGAATAACAGTCGACATTATCTGTGATGCTGGACTCCTACTTAACGGTAATCCACACAGGACATGTCACGGTAATGGACAGTGGACAGCCAACACCATGTGTTTTGGTAGGTTTCTCTTTGTCATGACACCGACCTTAGTTCAGTGAGCCCTTTCTTTTCAATCTACGATCAGGGAAATAAGATGTTTCAGTTGAACAGTGACAAGCAATAATTACAGACGTCAAAAAGGGTTTTCTTTGAATTTTGAAGTGTCGAAAAATGTCAAGTAGGTCTATCCTTAAAATAAAAATAAAAGCTATTTCGGAGAACTCAAAGACATGAACTCTTTGGTCTACCGAGAGTATTTGGAAATATATAACTGAATCATGGCAAAAGAATACATCTCGTTAACATATTCGTATGTCATGCCGATCACATAAGTACCATATTAACAACATGGCCGTCTTATATAACAGCTTTTACAGCAGGTGTCAATTACATTTACCAGTTAAATAACTAATACAATTTTAATAACCAAAGACCGTTTTATCATCTATGATATATCATTATGTGATATGTATGGGTCTGACACCGAGTAGTATTTCCTGATTGGTAGGACTCGTGATCATCAGATACAGACATTATATAGCCCATGTGAAATGCACGTGTATTAACAATATAACATTATTAACTTGGCTTAGTATGCTGTTATGTATATTTACTTATACAGAGTGTACAGGCATCAACCACTATACTACCTACAACCGAGCTCAAGATCATTGTGAGTCAACAGGTAGAACATTGCTGCAGTTAGAAAATATTCTTACACTTTTGCCACAACTCCTTAGTTTTACAAAAGGTATGTCATAGAGAGAAAGAGCTGTTATGTCCCTTTACTATCAAAAACAGCTACATAAGCTAACGCATTCATACATGTTTCATATCTGTCTTGTCATCAATATCATTAATAAAAGCTGTATTACCGTAACATTATTATTATTTTACTTTGTATAATGTATTCTAATCAATCGCTGGACAATGAGAATTGATTTGAAATGCATTATTTCTGAATAATTCTCCAAACATTTTCCAATTCAATGCCGCCTTTCTATTCGCATTAGTCCATTCTATTTGCATTATTCCATTCCATGAGACTTTTTAGCTGTTTTTGTGAATTCAAAAGAAACTGAAAAAATGATGCGGTCTGGACGTGGGAATTAGCAATTTCATTGGCTACAAAGAAGTCGCTGTCAGAAACTCTATCGATAAAATGGAAAATGTTTATCACGGAATAACTACATAAACATTAAACCAAGCTTTCTATTTTCTGTCAACTATCATGTCAGGCTGTCTACAATCCGACCATCGTCGTCTAATATTTGTATTGTCTGTTTGTCATGACTCATTCAACTGTTGTAGCGAGGTGTGTGACGTGTCCTGGTGATCTTGTGGCTGACCAACTAATACGTTACGTGGAAGACGACTGCTTGACTAACACTAGTTATACAAAGTAAGTAACAGTTTAAGCTACTTTCAATATAACATGGTAGGTTATAAAAAAATATCATAGTTTTGGTCATGTCATGCTCCATAACCAGGATATGAATAAAGAGTACATCGACGTTACTTCAAGAAGATATCTATTTCTATCAGAAAACAAGATATTGCCACAGTACCGTCTCCTGATTTTACATATATGACATATTCATCATTCAATTATGAAGCAGACATATACCCATCTCCAATCAATCTATGTGATATTACATAATAGTAAATCAAATACTGACATCGATAGAATGTAATAACTTAACGATTTTTAATTCAGTCAATACTTTAAACACCTTTGCATGTTCGGGAAGGGATAGATCAGATGTTTCCCGCTACGGGATCCCTTGAGTTTAATGACGTGCGGCCACTTGCAGAATCAAAAGTTTTCTCCTGTGTGTCCTGCTTCTGAAACATTGGAGAGGCAAAATAAATACATTAAAAACTGCTGCCCGNCCCATAACTCTTTCTTTTAAGCCTTGCTTCCTAGGTACATCTGCATCAGCCGTTGTCAGAATAATATGACCGATTGGAGTGTCATACTACCTAGCTGTAGCGAGGGGGAAACGAAAACGAAACAAACAATACTGTGATCTATTTATAGACTTCTCGGACTTTGTTGTCCCGTTTCTGATTTGTTATCATATATACAAAACTTTATGTAAACGTTTACAAAAGATTGAAAATGTTAATGGTATATTACCTTATTGTTATAATTACAGTTGGTCATCTTGCACCTGTTACTTTACCACGGCTGTCCCAGGTAAGAAGATCAGGATGCAGGCGGTGTTCCTAGACCTAGAAGAGGACATGGACTATTTGTGGATATTTGACGGTAAGATCATCATGCAGGATTTAACAAAGAAAATATTCTAATAGAACTAATAGATATTATTAAATCAGATAACATATTTGCATTCACAATAACTTTCTTGTATTTATTTAACTACAACAGTTTCATATTCACCTCAAAATGTTTTTGTTTATTTTAATGTGGCAAGCGCAAACATGTGGGTATTTTCAAAGATCTTTAAAAAAACGTTCGAAACTTGACCATTCTTTGAAATTGCATCAAATTAACACCCCATTTTATTTATATCTTTTTATATCTACAATGCTATTATTACTTTTTATTAAATAGGTTATACCATAGAAAATATACATACATTTTCTGTATCCTACATCAAAAAAACATCGCATAAACTAAAGATCTCTCTCTCCCTTCTTTAATAAAATATTATAAATTGATACCACATTTAAAAAAACATATTTCTTCCATAATGACGTATGAAATATGTAAGTGCTATATAGGTGTAATGTATGTCATAGATTATTCCCGAACTTTGATGGTTGGGCAAAAACGATACAAACCAAATAGTTGGATACTTAAAACTTAAGACTTAAACTCCAGGTTTTGGATTTTTTATGTCTTACCCGAAAAGTTGCGAATGATTATTATTCTTCGACCTAATTTTTTGTAAAAAAATTACAGTTAATTTAAACATATACAAATGTATCTGATATTAAGTTTTTAGACGCAGATTTCGTTCATTAATCACTCCTCAGTGGTACTAAAGGTAAAAACCAAAAAATAAAGTGTTTCAAAACAAGTATAGGATTTATATAAAAAGGGAAATGTGATTTTAAAGCAACCTAAAATAATCAAAGACATAAAATAATTGAAAGATAAAGTTACGTGTAAATGTGGATACATTACCAAACAAAATAATCAAAAACGTTAACGAGATAATAGGTAAAAACTTAACAAATTAGTCTGATAAAAGGTGGCATAGATGTAAATGAAGTGAAAGGTCAACAAATATACAAGATGAAAGGTAAATCTAACTAAAATGTGAATTAAGGTGAAAGGTGAAAAGGTGTATCAGGGTAATGGTAAAACAAGAAGTAAATCATATGACAGGTTAATCAAAATAACATGTAAAGGGGTGGTTTCCAAATTGGCCCCTCCTTTGATTTAAATTTTCTTTTGGTGGCGTATAGACCTTAACCTTATCACAACAAAATCACCCACTAAAATTCAAATGGGCACTTGGTTGTTTTTCGTAGAAGCATAAAACTGAAATTCTCAAAAAGTCAGAGTTTTTTCCTAAAAGACGAATGTTGTCAAACTAGCAAGGATCATTCATGATGAAACCAAAACTAGGAATTATATGATACAGAAAACATGTAAAAATATCCTGCTATGGTGAGTTGTCAGATATTTACAGACAATTCAACGGCCAGAAGCCATCTCAAGCAATGATATTTTCCAAACAAATGATGTGTTCATCTTTGAATCTTAACTATTGTACACCAAAACTATTTGGATTATAGAAAAAATATAAATCCAAAATATGTGATGGAACATGTTCAAAGAAGAGATCAAATGACCATATGGTCTATACATCAGAATCCATGGCTATGTGTATAGTCCAATCATTATGACTGAAATCTGACAGAAAAGAATAAAACATGTGTTCCAGTTTAGACAGAGTGAATATTTAATCAACGGAGAGGATGTTTGGATTATTCGCTGGTTTATTCCTTTTCAAGATGGCCACCAAAACATTCATTCTACTGCCTAATCAGTTGTCAGATTCCCAGACAACTTTCTTGCAATATCAATAGAATTCAGAGATTGTATGTTTGTTTGTTACTTTGTTTTAACAGCTGATAACATGTACAGATAATGTTTTGCAAGATGCGAGAGTATGAAATGTCTTCCAATAGCAGACTTAGAAAAAATAAGGAAGAAAAACATGATGTGAGGCTTTGAGTTTGTTTTCAAACTGGTAATATTCTAGATTCCCAATAAATCAACTTATTTCATATTTGGATTTTGAAGATTGCTATGATAGCCAAAATAATAAAGTATACTTGTACTAGATGTATGAGCACACATTCTCATAGTTCTTTTACCAACTGGGCAATGGCAGAAGTAACCTATTATTGGATTATTATCATTTTGTGTCGTGTTGTTCTGAATCCAAACATAATATTTAGTCAGAAAATTGTGACAGGAACAAATCTGACAATATTTGAGGTCTTGAGAGTACTGCTACACCCATATTTCATTATCTTTCCGAATTCTGACTTTGCTCTTTTGGTGAGAGCTGGTTGTTTTCACCCTCCGATGAAATATTTTGGTATAACAGAATAATTAGAATGAAAAATCCTGTATTTTACATAAATAGTGTTTGATTAAACTCACATTCTGGATAAATAATTTGTCTTTCCCAATTATAACGATAAAAAAATATCATTTTATTTCAGAAAAAACATTTCATTTTTTGACCCCCTTGCTGTAAATTAGGTTAAGTAATCAACTACATAATTAATAGAGTGATTCAAAGTAATAATTACAAATGTATCTGGGATTGTAAAAAGTTAAAAAGCAGCATAAATCTCACTTCTGAAACAAAAGTTATGAGGGGGCAGGCTCCTATGTATATTTAACATAGCTGGAAATAGTCCCTTAGGTGAAAGGTAAAACATGTTTATCCGGTAAAAGGTGAAACGAAATAAAGAAGTAAATCCAATGAAAAGCATTAAAATATCATGTTAAATAGGATATTTGTATTAGAAAGTCACGATTGACTCCACAGTTGACTTAACAGCTGTATATACAGCATATACAGTATATGGACGAAATTACATTAATACCAAATGAGAGAAAATCCAGCTTCTAGTGAATTAATTCACTCCATATTTCCATGCAATTAAATGGAACATCATAAATGCCTACATGAAGCGGAATAGTGTGATTGATTGCAATGCGGATTCTTGATATAAATATTCTATAAACTTTTGAGTTGTAGGAAGAGACGCGACCTTCCCGATCCTCGGATCTTACACTGGGGACACGACGTTTACGCTCGTCACCAATGGAAGCGAGGCCTTTATATCTTTTACGACCGACGACTTCGTCACAGGTGCTGGTTTCCGGCTGTCCTATTCGATGGTTCAGTCCGATATTCCTAGTAGCATGCCCACATCTCTATCAACACCAGGTAACTATTTCCTTTAGTGAAATACAGATATGTTAACATGTCAGGTAACTATTCATATAAAGTAAACAAAAAACGTATCTCTGACATCACAGGGTAACTAAATTACAAGTTCACAACTCACCACATGGACATTACAAGGTCACAACCCCAACCAAGTAACACACAAACATTACAAGGTCACAACCCCAACCAAGTAACACAGAAACATTACAAGGGCACAACCCAAACCAAGTAACACAGAAACATTACAAGGTCACAACCCCAACCAAATAACACACAAACATTACAAGGTCACAACCCCAGCCAAGTAACACAGAAATATTACAACATCACAACCCCAACCAAGTAACACAGAAACATTACAAGGTCACAACCCCAACCAAGTAACACACAAATATTACAAGGGCACAACCCCAACCAAGTAATATACAAACATTACAAGGTCACAACCCAACCAAGTAACACAGAAACATTGTAAGGTCCCAACTCTAACCAAGTAACAAAGAAACATTAAAAGGTCACAACCCCAACCAAGTAACACACAAACATTACAAGATCACAACCCCAACCAAGTAACACACAAATATTACAAGGGCACAACCCCAACCAAGTAATATACAAACATTACAAGGTCACAACCCAACCAAGTAACACAGAAACATTGTAAGGTCCCAACTCTAACCAAGTAACAAAGAAACATTAAAAGGACACAACCCCAACCAAGTAACACACAAACATTACAAGGGCACAACCCCAACCAAGTAACACACAAACATTACAAGGTCAGAACCCCAACCAAGTAACACAGAAACATTACAAGGTCACACCCCAAACCAAGTAACACAGAAACATTACAAGGTCACAACCCCAGCCAAGTAACACAGAAATATTACAACATCACAACCCCAAACAAGTAACACAGAAACCTTACAAGGTCACAACCCCAACCAAGTAACACACAAATATTACAAGGTCACAACCCCAACCAAGTAATATACAAACATTACAAGGTCACAACCCAACCAAGTAACACAGAAACATTGTAAGGTCCCAACTCTAACCAAGTAACAAAGAAACATTAAAAGGACACAACCCCAACCAAGTAACACACAAACATTACAAGATCACAACCCCAACCAAGTAACACACAAATATTACAAGGTCACAACCCCAACCAAGTAATATACAAACATTACAAGGTCACAACCCAACCAAGTAACACAGAAACATTGTAAGGTCACAACTCTAACCAAGTAACAAAGAAACATTAAAAGGTCACAACCCCAACCAAGTAACACACAAACATTACAAGGTCAGAACCCCAACCAAGTAACACAGAAACATTACAAGGACACAACCCCAACCAAGTAACACACAAACATTACAAGGTCACAACCCCAACCAAATAACACACAAACATTACAAGGTCACAACCCCAACCA